TCCAGGGCGTAGTCAAACATTTTTTTGGATGGGTCGAAATTTTAAAAAAAATCTCTTCTCCGTTTTTCCGTTTTCTGAACTCTTTAGTGCATACTCAATAAAAATTTCTGGAGGGGTCATGATTAAAAAAAAAAGCCTACTTGATACTATTTTTTAACAGATCCGAGTTTCGGTCCGATCACAGGTATGGTCCCTGAGTCGTGCAAACCTTAAACATTTGATATTCGATATCTTTTCTTCTTTGTAACTTGGAAAACACTTCTCGCTGCACACCGATGACAGGTGGGTTGGGGTCGGGCGCAGCCTCTAAATTTTGATATTTCTTACTTATCCCTAACTCGGAAAGTAAATAAGCTTTGTGGCTTTTGAAAATCGATAGTGGTGGTTGCGGGATTATAGGCGAAAAAAAAGAACTTCTCCAAAAACTGTTTTTCAACGTTTTTCGAGTGTGTGATCACTTTCGGGCATAGTCTAGTACGGTTGTGTAATTTTAAAAACCTACTTGATACTATTTAGTTTTTCAGAGCCGCGTTGTGGTACCGATGACAGGTGCGGCGGTGAGCCACTCACCCGCCTTCGTCGAGTGGGTGTGCTTGTATCTCGCCCGACACTCACCGAGGCCGATCTGCCTCCCCAGCCGCTCGTCGTGCGCAGCCGCCTTCGGCGACGATGTCCATCAAATGGCCTCCAGGTGGGGGAGGGCAGAACAATCCTCCAGCCAGGCATCACAACCAGAATCTGTTGCCCGATGGCTGCCAACGTCAACAGGCAGGTGAGTGTAGGAAGATAGTAGTTATCCATGTACACATTAAATTACATGCCGCCATTTTTAATTCAATATGGCGGATGCTACAAAACGACGATATATTACTTTCATAGTATGTATATGTATATGGGTGTCAAATGAAAGAGTTTGATGAGTTGAATACTATCAGTAAGGCGCAGTTATTTTTAAATTAAATATGACGGACGCCTCAAACTGGAGACCAAGGAATTCTAATAGATTAGTAGGAGTAACGCCTATATGCTTACATTGTTTGGTCGCCAAAATTGCGTAGTTTTTACTCACATAACACCTAATTAGTATTGCCTACCAAAGTGACATAGTTGCACCACATAATAATACCTACCGGTGGAAAGATTGAACTTCATTAGGCATGCAAAGAAGTATCATTCCTAAAGTCTTTTTACACCACAATTAACTGGCATACACGTTCAAAAAATACTTACCAAATTAGGAATTTAATTACAGAACTGTCCAAAAAATTACTTATATCAAGTCGACTTACTGACGGAGATTTTGTTATGCAAACAAATCGTAGGCTTGCTCTATCTACCTATAGTCTGAATTCATGACCTTGAGCTGAAATTTTAACTAACGAATCTGTAGAGAATAATGTTCCAGGTAATATTTATTCACAATTATTTGAAACCTTTTACTAAACTTGCTCTTTCCCAGGTGAACTTCAACTATGGAAAAGACGGTTCCGAATCAGCAAGGACGTTATCAGGCTTGGACAGAGATTGCTTCATGCATACCAGTTTCATAGCTTAGATAGATTTCTTCCCGCTGAGTGCCTATGCCAGTAGGTATAATATCATTATACAACTTATTCATTTGGAAAAACTGATGTCGAGTATGCTGACTCGGCACTGAAGTTATGAATGCTCGATGAATTTATTATTGATGCTATATGAAGAAATGTGGATAAGTAACTCGAAATTGGAGACCAATGTTTAATATTCTTAATCCTTCTAGAACTTCATTTAGCTACAACCCTTCAACGAATTGGAACTCAAAAATGATGGAAACATCTGGAAATATCTCTTTTATTTCATTTTTGATAACGCCTTATATAAAAGCTGTATTTTCAGAAACCTCCTGCAAACGGAAATTCAATGGAGAAAAAAGGCAATTTACACTTATGGAAGTAAGTACATTAGTCAATATAATTCTTATACTCACAGGAAGGGGCAGTTCAAATATTACTGAGCAGATGTTTTAGAATTATTAACCCAGCCTTCCACTTGTCATCAAATATAAGCAAATCTATCACCTCCCTACATCCGATGCTTACGTAAACATTTTGGTACATTTTACAATTTGAAGCAAGTATTGGCTTTCACGCACATGTTCGGAATAGCATTTAATGTCTGGGAAATCATGAATATCTGGCTCGACCGACCCAACGTAGTTTACAGTAACATGATAACCTTAATTCCATAGAACTTCATACCTCCGCTAATGCAATCCCGGCCAACTTGATATTGGATCTTTCTAAATATTCACTAATTGTAACGCCACGTTCATCCAAATGAGACCCAAACTGGTCATGAGGCAGTATCAAACCAGCCATTTCCCGACTAAGGAGCATTTAGAGCTAAGGTTCTAAGCGAGTAAGCATATCCATATTTGGGAATCCTTGAAGATAAGCAGAGCTACTATATGTGTTCCAGTCAAAATCGAATAAATTTTGTAGAAAATCCGAAAAAGTAACTAAATAAATAGTACTGATGAAATTCAAATTCAAAGTTCTTTATTCATGCTGTCGATCTCAAAGAGATATAGAACAAGTCATATTTAAATTAGGAAAAGAAAAGAGCGAAAACGAAAAAGAAAAACCAGGAACATAAACCACATATTTGTATATACTAAAAAAAAAAATCCAAAACTAGGAACTCAAAAAAAAGAAGATACAGTCAAATTAAAATACATACCAACACACAAATGGATAAGTGCACATACGGGTGACTTTGAAGTTGAGTCAATAATTTTCAGATAATGATTGTAGAAGGAAGATAAACCAAATATGTGTGTAAAAATAAAAAAAAATTAAAAAAACAATGTTACCTTGTTTTATAAGGTATCCTCCCGACAAGTATTTCAGTGCGGACCTGTATTTGATCGTGCGGTCTTGGAGCACCGGCATGCCCTCCCCTGTGAGGTCTTAAGTCACCTGATTCACGAGCCCGTTGTACTACATTAACAAAGGCACGAGGGGTTGGTTGCACTCGATTGGGAAACCGATCCGCATAAATCCGTGATGCCGCGTAAATAAGAATCATGTCCACAAGTTCAGCATTTTCGTAAACATGTGCCATTTTTGATTTCGTTTGAGCCACGCAACAGACACCACTTTTCACTCACGCGTTACCGCCTGACACTGACTGTATACAACTGAATAAAATAATTGTAAAAACATCGTTCCAAATTCTTTCGCTTTTTTGTTTCCGATGCGATGAACCGATAAGGCGGATTATATCAGTGGTTGCCAAACACGAGCACATAATATTATTATTGAGACAGGGCGGTACTCAAACTTCCAAAGGGCTATAACTTTGTTACTTTTATTTTACCAGAAAAATGGTAAACGAAAAAAACATTTCTTTTGATCAGATCTACTCACTGTTAAAATAAATGACTCAACTTCGAAGTCAACCTGTATACAAGGTGGCCCATCCATGTGTGGACGGAATATTCCTCATAAACAAATGCATTTTGGAGAAATCTATTTATGGCATGTTATACATGACATTTAAGGGCACATTTATAAAATATTGGCAATTATACAGGGTGTCCCAATTTTGACCTACATATCAAAGTTGTGATTTTTTAAATGGAATGCCTCAAATTTTATTGCATATTTGGATAAACCAATTCAAAATAAGAAGAATGATATGTCATACTATGGGGTTTTGGTAATTAGCTACTGAGATGTAAGATGTTTTGTCCAGAAAAACCGTCCACTTCGGCATCCCGTCATTCCGCCATTTTGGAATTTGGAGTGGTGAATTTTGTATCAAAAAAACTTACACACCTCAGCTTGTATCTTATTTGTTACTTTTTCGAATTTTCATTTTTGCTCATACTGGGTGGTCAAAAACGCGAATTGTACTTTTTCTCAAAAATTTCAAATGCGTCACCCTGTATATTTGTGCATGTTTGGATTCAATTTTTCATAAGCTTTTTTTTGGTATAAGGTTTGATTCAGATATGATTACTAGATTGTGAGTTATTAAGCTTTTAATAGAACAACACACCAAAATTAAGAAAAAAAACACATCATCCATGGAAACAAAATAAAACAGTGGGCTAGTTGCATATTGCCATTAAGAGTACAGATTTGATGTAAAAACTAATAACAACCAGAACAGTATAAATCTGCTTCAAGCGTAATAGAGAAAAACAACTACGAGTATAACAACAACATAAACAAACAACTATCACTGCTCAAGACCTAATCTACAAAAACTGCTCAAAGATATATCCACCATGTTGAAAACACAGCCCTAGTCTTTGGATAAATGACCGTTGCACATCCCTTAGCATGTGTTCCCTTATGTTCAGAAAAGCATCCTTAATCCTTTCCTTCATGTTTTCCAAGGTAGATGGTGGATATCTAGATATAAACCTCTTGCTTAACGTAGCCCCATAGAAAGAAGTCCATCGGTGTCATATCTGGTGATCTAGGAGGCCAAGATATAGGCCCATCACGACCGATCCAATGATTGTTACTCCAGGTGTCCAAGGAGTTACGCACACGATTTTGATAATGCGCAGGTGCGCCGTCATGTTGGAAGTACTATATGCATTCGAGTTTGCAGGTTGACATCATCCAAAAGCAAAGGCAAATGTTCGATCAAACAATTCAAGTATTCTGTATCTGCTCATCTGTTGTCAAAACAGAAAGGACCGACAACTTGTCTGCCAATAACGCCTCCCCGAACATTCAAGCTCCATTTATTTTGGAAATCTATTTGCCTAACCCAGTAAGGGTTTTCCATCGCATAATAGTGCATGTTATGCCTGTTGACAACACCTATGCTGTTAAAAGTTGCCTCATCGCTAAAAAGAACCTTATCCAGGAAAGTAGTGTCTTCACTCACTTTATTTAGCATTAGTCTACTAAACTCCATTCGAGCTGCGAAATCCTGAGGACGAAGACCTTGATGCAAGCATAGGTGATATGGATGGTACCTATGCTTGTGAATAATCCTTTGGACAGAAGTTCTGCATATATCAGTTTCTGCTCCAATTTGCCGTGCACCTAAAAGGGATTTTCCTACAACTTTAATATAGAACCTCCAACTGATTTACCTCATTGTTGACTCTTGGATTATTTATACATTTTTTACTATATTCCACTGCTCCACTTGATTCGAAACGTTCTCGTAGCGTGGAAAATGTTGCCGGCCTTGGATGTCACATATTAGAGTACCCCAAAAAATATAATACCTATATGAGGTTATTGATTGAAAGTACGCAAAATAATACATCATTACAATGTTTTACTCATCAATCAAGAATCTCAGTCTATTGATGAGAATCACTATCCAAACCTCCCTTCCTCCATGCCATTAAAGTTAGGCAAAGCGAAGACCTCTCCCGCCCCCCTTTAGTGCTTATATAATTCTTGGATGGTCCCATGCCACATGTATATTTTAGTAAAAATAATATTTCAGGTACCTGATCCGAAACTATGTGTCTTATGTCACCTAATGAGTCCCTTAGAGCCGATAGACCCTGTATTAGAGTCACCTCTGGTTCAACCTCTATTCAAGCAACGGATTACTGCGGGCGAACTGGTGAACGAGGTGGCCCAAGCAAAGACTGCAGTTACTGGGATGTTGCTTGCCAATATGGAGAGAAACGGTAAATAATTTTACAATCATTCATGATGTGCTAAAAAATGTGTTCTCAATCTTCCTTGGACCTACATAAAATGCCAAAAAATAGTGCGGCGACATGATTTTAAAAAAAAACTGGTTACCTATCCTCTAGATAGACAAAATTACATTTTTAGTATCTAAAGCAGATTCCTATGTACGAAATGCATCCGTGCATAACTCATTTGATTTTAGAGATGAAAACAAGAAATTTGGGCATAGTACAGTAAAGTGGTTAATCGCTATTCAATTTCTTCAAAAAAGTTTTTGTGAAACAAATGCGAGGCATATATTTCTATGAAAAGCAAGTATCCGTTGATCTCGATTAATTCTTCTGTTTTTCGAGATATATACAAGAAATTTGGGCATAGGAAATAAAAATGCTTAATGAAGAGAATTGCTGTTCGATTTTTTCAAAAAAGCTTTTGGGAAAAAAATTGCAAAATCTTAGGACTAATTACGGAGGTTCTCGCCTAGTAGCGACGTTTGAACCTTCACACTGTCCCCCTTTTGCGTACACTGAACGAAGTATAAGAAACGGAACTGAAGACACACCCCTCGACTGACTAGGAAATGCAAGTCTCACTACAATTCTCAAGGTCGCGCTTGGTACAGGGGAGCCTTAACATTCACTTTTTGATAATGTTACAGTTTATCCTTGCTTTAATCCGAAATAAAAATACTTCCCACTTTCCACTGGCGGGGAAGTAGTATTGTAATCGCGAACATTTTCGAAAATGAGATATTATGTTTTTTGGATGTTATATGACATATACATCACGAAACACCATCATTCATTTCCGTCGGTCTGTCCGTCCGCCTGTCTGTCCGCTAATCTTATAACCGCCTGTAAGTTGAGAAGTGCCGCTCGGATTACGAAGAAATTTTTGCAGAATATCACTACTATGCCAAAGATGCAAACGGTTTGTAGTTTTTGAAAATCGGATTACTGGCGCCGGAGAAAGGTCAAAAACAAAAAAAAACGACTAGACTTTGTTTTTTGACGTTTTAGTTGATCCTGATCATTTTCGGAAAAGTCTTTGCAGGAGTTAAAATTTGGGGGTTAAAGGATACAGGGGGTGGGGATGTATCTCAAATTTTTGACGTTGGTATATTTATACGTCTCTAACCCTAGTAATTCTAAGCATTCGTCATTCACGCGGGATTCTCTCAGTGAAGTAGGAAGGTCATTTAATTTTTCGTTACCTATACATATTCGTTGCTAGCTTTGTTTCTCAGAAGGGTTAACTTGTGTCAAACAATCCTTTACGAACTGATGACAGCATCGCGTGGGGAGCACAGAGTCAACTTACTTGACTTGATTTTTTATGCTTTTCCTGATATTAGGAATCAATTCTTGGAATGAGTGAGTAGCTGTTAATTAACTTTGTGGCGAAACTTTTAAAGAAATGAAAATCCTAGGAACATGGATGCATTCACAAACTTGTTTGGCAGATATCAACAGCTGACTGAATTTGGGATCATTCCCCAGTGAGTATTTTGCTTTACTGGGCTCAAGAATTGATCCCTAGGACTCTACTTTTGAAACTGCAAGAAAACACGTCACTACAAATACTGGTCTAGCACGAGCGACACGTAAAAAGGCACCTAATTAGATTTTTTTGTTTCAGCTGAATTTCCTTTCATAACTTACTACGTGATAAATACATCTCAAACAAATCCTGTGATGTTTTATAACAACTTGCGCACTGCCAGCTTGACGAAGTTCGATCCTAGGACAACCAGGCAAGACTTATGTTATCACTAAATATTCTATTCTGTAGTTTACTCCCTAAATTCAATGTCAGGAAAATTCAAAGGATACTTTAAGGCATGGTATTGTAGCGTTTTCCTGGGTTCTTTTGGCTGTGGATTTTTTTTTTTTTTTTTTTTTATTACTGGCCTTAGGAGTTCTAGCCTATTCGGCCACGAGAGTTACGGCTGTGGATTAAAACACTGGATTCCACAAAAAGAAATTCATTAATTTATTTGACTTGATAGAACATTTATGTACACCACTGTTTATGTCTGACTAATTCTTATGTCGCCATTGACTGCACTATACTCCACTCCGCTCTGCTACTCTACCGTATTCAGTACTCTCCTTCCATGTCCCGGCCGCCGAGTTATATAGTCAGAATCGTTGAGTCTAGAAGAATCGGGAGCCACATAGCGGCCTTCCCGAATAGTCGAGGTTACTTCGTGTCGATCCAGAAGGCGGGTCACTGCCACGGTCCTCACAGACCGCGTGGTGCCTTCTGAATCCTGTAGAGTACAACGTTGATGGAATCCAGAACTTTATATGGCCCATCCCAGGATGATTGAAGCTTAGGCGACAGCCCTTTTCGCCTCTTTGTGTCGTAAAGCCAAACCGTATCACCGTTATCATACCTCTGGTCGTTAGCATTAACGTCATAAGCTTCCTTCATCCGGTCGCTGGCACCTTGAATTGAAACACGTAGTCTTCTACGGCAATATCAGTTCCTGGTGGACAGCCAAACTTTAGATCGCATGGGAGACTAAGTTCTCTTCCCATAACTATTCGAGCCGGGGTCTCTCCTGTGCTTTCATGAATCGACGATCGGTAAGCCAATAAGAAGAAGTGAAGAAAACTATACCAGTCTCTTTGATGGCTTGAGACTACCTTAGCCAGATACCGGTTAATGGTCCTATTCATGCGCTCCACCATTCCATCTGACTGCGGGTGTAAGGCAGTGGTCCTGGTCTTCTTAATCCCAAGAATTTGGAACAGATTTGACTCGAAATTGCGCGCTTGGTCCGAATGCAACTCTAAAGGTACACCGAATCGACAGATCAATTCCTTTACTAAAGCATCGGCTACCGTAGAGGCTTCCTGATTTGGCAAAGCGTATACCTCAACCCACTTCCTAAAGTAATCCATTACCACAATGATGTATTTATACCCTGCTTCACTTTCTGGAAAGGGTGCCGCTACATCAATAGCAATCCTTTCAAAGGGGCTCCCCACGTTGTATTGGCGCATCGAAGCTTTTGGTTTCTTTTGCGGTCCATTACTTGCCGCACACACAACGCATTTACTGCACCAGTCTTTCACGTCCTCCTTGCTACTGGCCCAGTAAAATCTTTCCCTGGCTTTTCCCAGGGCTTTTGTAACACCGAGATGACCTCCTGACACACCAGAATGGATTTCTTTTAGCAGCTCCGGGATCCGACATCTGGGGATAACGATATGTCTTCTTTCCTCTTTGCCTTCGTGGTCCACCAATTTATGCAGTAAGAGTCCATCGTCCATAACGAGAGAATTCTATTGTGCCCAATATGATTTTGTGGTAGGGGAATACGTGGCAACTTCTTCCCAGGCTGGTTTTCGTTGTTCTTTCATCCAGTTCAGAATTATTTGGAGATCGGGATCGCCCTCTTGGTCTTTAATGAGGTCTTCATTTTGCCAAGTATCACTAACGATAGTGGTTTTTAATACTTGGACATCTTTCTCCTCTGCCAGCTGGCAATGCTTACCATCCTCTAAACAGCGTCTCCTAACGTGCCCTATTTTTCCACATTCCCAACATTCCACCTTGCTGTTCGTTTACCATCAAGTTCCTTAACAATGCGCTTGACGGACTCTTCGAACTCCTTATCTTCTGGTACCATCTCACGAACTCGGACCTGGCTTTTGTTTGTGTTTTTAGCGGCTTCGAATTCTAGGGCCCAAGTTAACGCATCTACTAGGTTAGTTGGATGTGCTAGTAGTAAGGCTTGCCTCATTTCACCATCGCGAAGTCCATCCAGGAATGCTTGAACTGCCAATCGATCCATTATCCTTTCCTGAACATCGGTATATGCTAATCATACCAATCGCGCAGTGTCCGCTTCGAACTCCTGCAAGGACTCGCCTGACTTGTTCTAAATGTGACTGGCCATATCCCATCTCCAAATGTCCTACCAGTTATTCGTAGACCTCTTGCTCTTCGGATAATATTCTTTGAAGAATAGCTGCAGCATCTCCTCGTAGGGCTAAAGTGAGTGCAGTTGCCTTTTCGGTCGATGATCAACCATTTGCATTCGCGGCTGCCTCAAACTGACGTCGGTAGACAGTCCTAGGCGTTGTACCATCAAACTGAGGCGGTTTCATTCGCAGATGACCAGCTAACCCAACAGAAGCTCCAACCTCACTTGATTTTTCCAACGGAAGTCCACGCTGTCGTTCGTCGATAGTATTGACGTCTAAAGCGGCAAACTTGCCTTGCACTTCTTGAATTCTGTCCTCCAAAGTTTCTTTCTTCCAATTCTTTTTTTAAATTGGCAGTATTTTCCAAAAACTTCTTTTCTAATTTGGCTGTACTTTCGTGTAACTCCAAGAGTTTTCCTTCTAGGTTGGCACAGTTTTCCACGAGCTTGTTTTCTAACTTGCTCGAAAGGTTTTGCAGCATTAAGGCAATATCCCCTGCACCGGTAAAAATGAAAATATCCCGGTCCTCACCTTCCTCAATCAGTGCTTGACGAAGCCGTTCCTGTAATTCTGCTTTCTTTCCAGCCGTGTCGCACTCTCTTTCCTCCAGCTCTCTCTTTAAATCGGAAATTTTCAATTCAACCAATCGCACCATTCTTCAGTTACTAATCGTCCGATTTATTTTCACTAAATGTCCAATAATCCACACCCCACATCTGACACCAATGTAGCGTTTTTCTGGGTTCTTTTGGGTGTGGATTAACACACTGGATTCCACAAAAAGTAATGCACTAATTTATTTGACTTGATAGAAAATTTATGTACACCACTATTTGCCGGACTAATTCTTAAGTCCCCATTGAGACTGCACTATACTCCACTCCGCTCTGCTACTCTGCCGTATTCAGTACTCTCCTTCCATCTCCCGCCTGCCGAGTTATATAGTCCGCATAGTTGAGTCTAGAAGAATCGGGAGCCACATAGCGGCCTTCCCCAGTAGTCGAGGTTACTTCGCGTCGATCCAGAAGGCCGATCACTGCCACGGTCCTCATAGACGCCGCCAAGCGGCTTGTGCGGTCGTGGTTCGCGTAAAAGCAGTCATCGGCCATGAAGCTCTGGCGAGTAGAAGACTCGCTCAACACCTGGCGCCAACAGTACTATTTGTCACAGTATGATAATGGGAAATGATAGGTCTCCGGTACCGAAGCTAATAGCAACAAATTATACAGAGCGGGCTAAAGTCGTTTACCCTTTTAGATTTCCATGTGTATGAGAGAGAGAGAGGAGAGAGAGAGGAGAGAGAGAGAGGAGAGAGAGAGAGAGGGGAGAGAGAGAGAGAGAGAGAGAGAGAGAGAGAGAGAGAGAGAGAGGAGAGATAGAGAGAGATAGGAGCGCCGTTCGCCTCTTTCGGTGCCAGGCAACAAAGCGACGCTGCTTATATCACAGCGTATTTCCCTTTTATCTCCCAAATGGACAAAACCTTGATCTGACCTTGTGAACGACATAATCAAAGACAAGGAAACAACCAAAACCTTTTTGTGCCATCAAATTCTCGAACAACTCGTGCCAGATCTATTCCAGAATTATAATCTAAAAATCAGCTTGCCCTTGATAACATGACATGGTGTCTTAATGAATACTTCTTTCAGTAAATCGATTCTCCAAGTTTTGGTCTGAGAACATCAATCGGCACATTCACTGTTCTTGCAAATCGAGCAAACTTTATTCCCCTTTTTCTTAGAAACAAATCATCCTATTTCTTTGGTCCCATGAGAATTTGAGAACTAAGGAAGGTGTGAAATATACCATACTGAATTTTCAGACAAATCGACTGTGACCTATTTTCCATATGTTTTGTGCAGAATCCTTTGTTATTTTGTGTATCTTATAGGTATACAGCGGCACATACACTTGACTTGTACACAGAAGTAGCTTCGATATGTCGGCCGCCGATTCACGAAATTGGCATGTCCTTAGCCAAAACGCATACTTCGGCCACTGGTTACATGGTTTCCGTCTACAAAGTTTTCGAAGGAGACGACAGAGAAAAATTCGAAAGAAATTGGTTATATTGGACTGGTAAGATATGGGTTTTGCTGGTTTTGTAGTAAATTGTAGTAATGGCTTCGGCGTTCAGGCTGTTGTTACCATCTGGAAAACAGATAAATACAAAATATACGTTCATTTTCATTTTGATCTGTACTAAAAAGTCCACCGTTTTAGCGAATTTTCAATGGTAGGGGACAAAATTCACACAGTTCTCTGTTGGAGCACACTTCGTGGTGTGTTAAGAAGCGAATGAGGTACGGACGATCTTGAAATTCAAAGTTAATATAATATCTTATTTCTAATTTCCTTTACCTGATAAATGATATTGTTTTGACTAAAAAATGCTACTTTAGGGCCAGATTTTCAGTTTTGTGATTGACATTGTTATAGGAAGTGTATAGAATAGAGGAACGGATTAGAGGTGCGACCAAAGTATACAGAGGCACGACAATCTATGCTCTTTTTTGTAATTAATGTGGTAGGTTTAAATACTTAACTGTGCCGTAAATATAAAGAAAAGAAACATGAGTATATAATTATACTTACTTACGTATAAGCGTTTCCACGCGTAGCAGCTGACTCTTTATCCTAGATTTTGCTCCCCTTTGAGTCGCGGTAATGCATTTATGTGGGGCGGTGGAGTTACAAATTTTATCCGATTCTCAGTACATACATCATTAAAACTATACATTATTTCATAGAAAATATTTATATCTACCACATAGTAGAGCCATTAGAGTCTGACTCTATTTTACGTTTATAATAATGTCTTCTAAGTTCACACACACTCAGTAATAAAATTCGATAAAATACGGGTTCTGCCGTTACCACGTTCTGCCGGCCAATATGATGTTCAAGAAATTTTATACTCAAAAGCTTCTTGGGTATATTAATTACATTATAATATGGTTCTTAATCATGACTACTTCTGTTTGCAGGTGCAAGGATGATCTACAGGTACCTCCCTTCAGCGGCTGGCCTAAGGCGGATATCCCTTCACAAGTCCCTAAGTCCTAAAGGCGACAAAATGTACATCCTCTTGTGCGAATGTGCAAACCTTCTCAATGACGTCACAGTATGCGCTTTACTCCTACCGGCCTTACGAGCTAGACTTACAGGATACACCGGAATTTTCAGACCTCTACAGACTTTTTGAAAGTACTTAACGTATAGTATATAAGCGTTATTTCGACTAACTGATGTGATCTTTTGTATATAAAACTTGATGGCTGTTGTTAAAATATACTATACAGTATGTTACCTCTAATATTCGAGCATATGGCAAATGGCAACACTGTAAAAAGGTCAACGTGGTGACCGAAACGTCAGTAGAGGGTAATTTCTACACAAGTGGTTTCATTTGGCTAAGGAAACAGTTCTAGCAGCATAAAAAGCTCAGGATAAGTTTTAAAAGTTACATTAAGCTTTTTAATATATTAACTCATCAATTATTGTGATATTATTATTGAACACCCAGATTATAGATTTATACGCAATATGATGGTGGAATTGTATGATATTTGTGGTAAAATACTGTATGAGGGAAAATGTTTAGTTGCTATGTAAAACCATGATGTTTAGGCTATAAATACAGGCAATAATTTTATTTATAGATCATATCCTTTATGATGATCAAAAATATCGTTAAATCTTAGGGGACCACAAGTGTCTTTAATTTATTGAATGGTATATATATCATACATATTACGATTCGCAAGTCATAGAAGACCAATATTCCTATGAAACATATTAAACAAATAATTTTGGAAATTTTGGTACCTAAATATACAGTGTGTTGATCTATGGAATGCTTTCTTGGGGGATTCTAAGAAAAAAAGTTTATTAAATCATAGAACCGGTAATGCTTCGTTTTCGATATACAGGATGACAGCCTTTTTTAAAAATCCGTTTTTTTCGAAATTGCTGATTTAGTTGTTTTGTTGAAATTAAATGCCTACAGACATTTACCGCCGATAATTCAACTAAAGTCACTAGAGAAACAATTGCCACATGGCCATGTATATCACCGGATTTTGACACCGTTAAATGCTTCCGTTATGTTTTATTGGCGCCGATACGATTGTACCTACTAAATTTCAACAAAGCGTAAGAACTTGGCGAAAAGGTTATTACAATTTATACAAAAAAGGACTTGAAACGTTCGGTACACTGTACTCAGACTTTATTAGCACCCTGTATATTTTCCAAGAATGTTTATTTGAAAAACGATATATCCGAACCTGTTACAATTGATTATTGTACTCTGAAATTGTCACGTTAGAATATTTTTACCAATTAAAAGAGAGGAAAAATACATATCCTAATTTTTTTATTTACAATATCAATGATTAATAATCATATTTTTCTAGTGTACCTTAAAGAAGTAACGACGACTATATCAACTATAAAATAGTTTACCAGAAAATGGTTTCTAATAGTATAGAAATTTTTGAAAAATTACCGGGTATTTATTCGTTTATCTAGGTCTCTTGAAGCAACAATATCATTATAGCAATATTCGTTATACATACGGTTTTAAAAATGAGTTACTATTAGGTAATATAATAACTAATATATCTAATATATTTAAGCGTTCTGTACATAAGATGTTTATCGATGTACATATGTATACTAAGGTGTTATATTTTTCGACCAAAGCTTATATGAACTTTGCTTCATTGTAAGGCTACTGTAGCAAACTTTTAACAATCATAATTTGTCACATGTTTTGTAACATTTCACTGGATTATGACGCACACATTTGAATAAACTTTTTAGGCAGCAATTGATCACTTAAA